AGGCAAGCAACATAACTCTCCTCTTTACAGATGTAAATGATGAAGCCTAGAGATTTATGACATGAACGGCAGTAGCAAAATCATTTGTGTAGCAACAAAATAGTGTGATTTCTTTTTCTTTGCCTCCCATTCTGGCTTTTTTCTCTTTTTAAAACTGTTATTTTTGTGTATATATGAGAGTGAAATAGCTAACCTGTTAGACTAGAAAATGTATTCAGAAAGGAAATAATATAATTCTTTGGTCATTTGCTTATGAAGCTCTATGACAAGAATTCTAGAGGCAAACACATGTAGTGCATTCTGTTTGAGCACTGTTATAAAATAGGTTACATACTCTGCCAGATACAGGAGCTCCGAAGATGACGACATCATCTTTGTCAGAACAGCCCACAGTACAGACAGGAGACATATAGCTAATAACTTAAAAGCAAAACAAAACCCCCAGCCCTCTTTGACAACATGCACACCCTAGTAGTGTCCAGAGGTAAGTATACCATACTGTCAAGAAGGCTGGGTCCAGTGCAATCAGCTATACCCACACTCACAGCTACATAAATGTAAATGGATAACTAAGTTTCTGTAGTCTAGCTGTTATCATGCTTGCCTCACATCCTCCTCCTCCTCCTCATCCCCCTCCTCGTCCGTGTCCTCCTCCTCTTCCTCCTCCTCCTCCTCCTTCTTATTTATTTATTTATAGGTCCTTATTTCCTTTATTTTTTTCTTTCCCCCTCTCTTCTAAATAGGTGGCATTCATAAGTCAAATCTTTAAAACTGCCACTTTCAACAGAGGGAAAAATCAACTGCACAGAAACTCCAAAGCATAAGATTTACGAAGGCTTCAGTACAAAGAAGTTCAAGGTCTCAGTGAAGTCTGGAGTTGAGACCATTCTTCAGCCCTGGCGTTCTCACGCTGATAGATCCTAGGCTCCCACAGAGTGCAATGGGAGGATGTGGGAGATTAAAGAGTAGGCAGAGAAGGCCACCAACAACTGGCAACTCTGTAGAAGTAACAGCCAGCAGTTAGTTTCAGCTCTGAAATGACTGACCCCTTTGTGTAACTGGTCCTTCCTGAGAGAGAAGTTAAACTGCTTTTAGCAGTGTGTTAATTAAAACAATTCATCCTCGGTCCTAAATGAAATGCCTCAATTTATTTGGAGAGTAGCCTTCCTTCATTTGCTTTTTTCTTATGCACTGAGAAGTATATCCCCAAATTTACCACATTCCTGTTACTTCAGATCATGAGGTATATTTAGAGAGAGAAATGATTATTAAGCAAGCTCCTAGATTCAGAAGTTGTCTATTTTCCAGAAATTGAGACGAAAGCGTCTTTAGAGAAGTTACTAGCATAGCTCAAATGAAAGACAGGTGCTTTTAAAAGCAACACATTTATTGTACACTTCACATGTGCTGGCCCATCATTTCTGGTTTCACGGGGTTATCTGATTTCATATTCATTATGGTCTATGAGTTGCATATTATGGCTGTTGTTATTATGGACAATTCCACCTTTTCAGATGAAAAAAGTAAAGGAACTTAGCCCGAATATGTTAACTGTAGAGGCAGGCAGGATGCAAATGAAGGTAAGTCTGGTCCAGGGTTCATTGCTAACCATACTATCTGCCTTTCAGATCCCCATTTGCCTGTAGTCTAATGGATGCATAAGTCACCTAAGAGTAGATGAACCAATGTCAGATGACTGGATTGCTGTCTGTGTGAGTTTTATTTTCTTTTTGCTGAGACAGAGTGTTTGATGTAAACAAGTCCAAGGGAAGAAATAATTACCCACTCAGTGTCAGCGTGTTGAGTCAATCCCGACAAAAGAGGTGTGGCACAGCAGACCACTGTGTAGCAGACAAGAATCAGATAGAGAGAATCCAGGAAGAGGCCAGCATATGCTATAGTATGCCTGAGACATACCTCAGTGAGCATTTTCTCTAACTAGTCCCTATCTCCTACCTTGCATCACTTCCCAGTAGTGTCATCATACCAGGAATTCCTCAAGGGATCAACCTATTCACTAAGCTGGAACCGTCTCTGGGAATAGCTTCCAAAAGACTCCCAGGAGTGTGTGTTACTAGTCTCCAAGGCTTTCTTCAATCCAATCCAGTTGACAGTAGGGACAAGCTATTGCTGTTCAGGGGAATTTTTCAAAGGCAGCTGACTGAAACCAGTCAAGCATACAGAGTTTGATTTGATCAAGGGAGTGTTTAGAAGCTCCTTCAGATAAGGGACCTCACGAACATTACAAATACTGGTGAAAGCAAACTGAGGTGTTGCCTCTGACAAAGTGTTTCCTCTGTCACTTCAGAAGACCCAGGTCCTAGTTCAATAAATGAAAGTTTGTGTATAGTCTGTCCCTAAGAAAGGGACAGAAAGGTGAATATGGAGAACTTTGACAACGTGCTTTGAAAATATTGGGGCACATCAGCCAGGGGAGGGGGGACTGCGATGCTTTGACATTGGATCAAACACACTCTTCCTGTATTTTCGCTGCAACCACCATTCTCCTGGGTCTCAGTGAAATTAGCAGGGAAGGTTGAATTGTCCTGTGTCTAGCCTTGCCCCCTCTCTGCTCTCTGTCCCACCTTTTCTTTCTGTACTAGCTGGTTTAGTTTAACTTGGGATTGTGGCAACAGGAAGCCTCAACACAATCCCTGATTCAACTTTACCATCAGCAAAGCTGTCCTGATTACCCTCTGGATTCTATTCAAGCTCATCGAAAACATAGATGAAAAGAATGATCGATTGGTATGCCCCAAATTTCAATGACAAAAAGACAATAGGGAACTTGACTTTAAAAACTAATTATTTATGGTATATAAAGGAGAGGCCTCAAGACTGTTATAAGGAATCTGACCTGAGCCTATGAAAATCATTTATTATAAGTCTCCGTATGCGTGCATGCACAAAGTGCTTACCCACAGAGAAAATCACTGTGGAATTTGTTTCTAAATTAATCTCTCGAAATGTAATGTCACAAAATCCCCATTTTTCACAGACAAATTTGCCAAGGACCTTAGCTTTCTTTAAAAGCCAAAGTAATATTTTATAATGTCTTTGAATCATTTATTCCCTGCTCATCAAATTGCTCTTTTGCAAGCATTCTTTGATGACCAAAGACTATTTTGGACTATCTGAAAAGCTTTAATGGCCCCCAAACCATTGTTATTATTGGGAAACAAATTGGTCCTACAGGTTTATTACTTTAGCACTTTCGAGTGCTGATTTGAATTTTTGCTTCCTATACATCAAGTACAGAGATTTTAATATTTAATCCAGTCCAAGACAAGTGTTATCAGCTTCCATATACTCCTTACTATAAGCAAATAGGAAAATGCTTTCTCTAGGAATAGTGTTTCCATTATAGCCCTTTTTTATCATCAAAAGCTTTATGTGAGTACTGGAGAATGACTCAACACTTAAAACCACTTGCTAAGTTTGCAGAAGAGCCAAGTTTGGTTTCCAGTACCCACATGGCAGGTCACAATTATCTATAATCCCAGTTCCAGGGCATCCAACCCAGTATCCTGGTTTCCACAGGCACCTGGTACGTAGACATACAGACAGACATTTGTATGCATAAGATAAAAATAGATAAATCTACAAAGATACTTTACAGGAAAATCCATTTTTGTCCTGAACTAAACAACACAGTTGTCCCAATCTCTGTAAAATATGTTTTCTATGCTTCTTTTTCAAAATAAATGTGTTTGGTCTTCCTGCCACAAAGGAAATTATACAGGCAAAGACTGTACACTGGCACTGTCTAGAGGCTGGCAACACCCTACCCCAGCAGCTGCATATTTCCATGCATTCTCCTGGCTCTCTGGGCCTCTCTTGTCTCTTCCCATATCTGATCTCACCGTGCTTTACTCCTGCCCCTCCCCTCTCCCACCCAGGTTCCTCCCTCCTTCTGCCTCCCACAGTTATCTTGTATCTCCATCTGAGTGGGATTATTAAAGCATCCTCACCTGGATCTTCCTTCTTGTTAAACTTCTTATGGTCTGTGGGTTGTGTCATGGCTGTGCTGTACTTTTTTGGCTAATAGCCACTGATCAGTGAGTATATACCATGCCTGTCCTTTTGGGTCTTGGTTTGAGTTACCTCACTCAGGATATTTTCTAGTTCCATCCATTTGCCTGCAAAATTCATGATGTCCTTGTTTTTAATAGTTGAATAGTATTCCTGGCATGGGGGAGGCTCCCAAGACTCACTGTGGGTGACTTTAGCTTAAATGCCCAACAGTGAGGAGATGGAATCTGAAGAGAGAACCTCCAGTAGTCAGACAGGACCCCAGTGGAGGGATGAAGGCACCAAGCCACCTACAAAACTTTTGACCCAAAATTGTTCCTGTCTAAAATAAATGTAGGGACAAAAGTGGAACAGAGACTGAAGGAACGGCTGACCGGTGATTGCCCCAACTTGGGATCCATCCCATGGGTAGGCCCCAAACCCTGACACCATTACTGATGCTATGTTGTGCTTGCAGATAGGAGCCTAGCATGTGTGTCCTCTGAGAGGCGATTCTAGCAGCTGACTGAGACAGATGCAGATAATCACAGGCAAGCCTTGGACCAAGGTGGGGGCTCCCTAGGTAAGAGATAGGGGAAGGACTAAAGGAGCTGAAGGGAATGGCATCCCCATAGGAAGAACAACAGTGTTAACTAACCCGAACCACTGGGAACTTCCAGAAACTGAGCCACCAACCAAAGGGCATATACCAGATGGTCCAAGGCCCAGCACATACGGATCAGAGGGCTGCCTTGTCTGGCCTCAGTGGGAGAGAATGCATGTAATCCTGTAGAGACTTGATGCCCTAGGGTGGAGGGATACTGGGGGAAGCACCCTCTCATAGCCAAATGGGAGGGGAGGGGGGAAGAACACTGCAAGGGGGGACCAGGATGGGGACAACGTTTGGGATTTAAATAAATAAAACAATTAGTTAATAATAAAAAAAGCATACTCGCTGATCTCTGGTCTCTGTCCCACCTTTTCTTTCTGTACTAGCTGGTTTAATTTAACTTGGGGTATGGCAACAGGAAGCCCTAACACAATTTGACTTTACCAGCACCCAACCCCCGACCCAAGTCTACAGTTTGAGAAAAAAGTTACAACCCCAACTCCAGCTTCCCAAATTTCAAGGAAAACAACTACTATAGTGCTATCTGCAGAATAAAAATTTATGAATTTAGCAAAAATTAAAATTAAAAATAAAAAAACACGGTCTCCATGCAGTGTCCCTCCCTGCAATGCTACATTTTTGCTTTCTCCTGTCCTGGCTTCTGAGATTCAGCTTCTCTCTGACCCACCCTTGAACCACTTTGGCTCTCTCAGGGATGCATGGAAGTTTTCGCCTCTCTTCTTGAAAATAAACAACAGAAACTTAATCTGCAGTGACAATGTTTATTCATCTATGTCTTTTCAGTTGCAGTCTAGAAAGATTAGCATTAAAATGGCATGAAAGAATCCGTAACACACAGACATATTAGTAAAAGATGGAACATAGAGTAGGGCTTACACAGCCTTTCTCATTTACTCTTATCTGGATTGCAAAGTTAGCCCCAAGAGCAGGCAATCAGAAAAGGGAACTTCGTTCTACTGATCATGTCCATAAAGCAAAAACAAGCCAATTACCAAACAGAAGCACTATTTCTCGTGGTAAGTCCACTCCAACGTTTATCTTGAGAATCTTCATCGAGAGGTCAGTGCATAGTAGATCGTCCATGTTGTCAGCAGCAACCTAAAGGGAGATGCCACGATGACTTTCATGGGGTTGCTGCCTCTTGAATTCCCGTGAATAAGCGGATGGTATCACATCAACTTGGAGATCAGGACAAACAATTAGATGGTGACTGATGGCCAGTTGGGAGTGGGGATACAATATGATGTAGTCCTGATAGTCAGTCCATTTTTTTTTCTGCTAGACAAAAGTTAATCATATATTTTAGAGTGCATCTGGAACATAGTCCAGCAGCCAAAATTGGTTCAAATCACACCACCACTAAGACTGCATAAGATTTTTATGAATTATTACGGGTTTTAGGACAGACCAAACACAGGTTCAGTTCTTTAGATTCGGAAAAGAACGGTTTACTTAACACTGCCAGAGACTGTCAGTCAACAAATCTTTCATTCCACCTCCAACTTAGCTGTTTTTGTCTACGCAAAGAAACTTTGTTTCCATTTGGCTTGTGGCTTAGCAGGTGATGCTGAGCTGGGCGAGAAGCTGGTATCAGCAAAACAGAGGCGGCTCCTCAAGGCCACTGGCCATGGGAATCCTTAGTCGCTGTTGAACGTGAGCCTTTTGAGGAGACACTCACTCAGGCTTTCCTCTTCGCTGGCCTGCTGGCGGAGGTTGGCCAGGTAGTCACTAATCTTCTTGATGAGATTCATCTCCTTCTCTAAGAAGTGCTTCTCCAAGAAGTGGCAGAGTTGGATGTCTGTGTTGGCTGAACCCAGGGCATGCAGATCCAGAAGGACTTGGTTCAGGTTCTTCTCCAGGGCCAAGGAAGTTTCCATCGCATCCACGCTCCCATCACAGTGATATGAGGGCATCATCTGCTCATTAGAGAAGTGGTCACAGCTGCTTGGTCGAGTTTGCATCAGGAGAAGATAGGCTGCCTGACGCTTCTCTTCAGACAGATCTCGGAAGAAGTGAACCAGGCCTCCCACAGACCTGTTGTCTCTGAAAAAGAATCCCAGAGAGAGATACCTATCGGAGGCCTCCAGATACATGCTGATCAGGCGATCGATTATGGCCTCCACCTCAGTGGTGTAATTCTGACGGCTCCGGGCACTCATGTTCGGTCAGCAAGATGGAGCTTATGAAGAAGTCGGCTTCCAGAAACAGAATGTTGAAGATCGTTCCGGAAGTTGTGAGTGGAGAGGCAGGAACAGAAGGTAGTTACGTGTCCAGGGGGTGGGACTGGGAGTTTCTAATAGGGAAATGGGTGGGACTATATGGTGCGCAGTCCCACAATCTTTCCAAATAAGAATTTAAGTGTGCCGTATCTTGTAGTTATTGGAATGGAGTCTTTTTTGTTTGGTGTCCCGTTTTTTAAAACCATAATTCTAAGGTGAAGTAAGAACATCGAAAGTTTTCATAATGAGATCCTTTTAATTACCTGTGACTTAAAACTTTCTTGTGTATTAATTTTGAGCTGGATACAGTATTTTACTTTGCTTATAGTCCCTCATTGTCTCAGGGAGTAACCATTAATCCCCTTTTCTCAGAGCAGTTTTGTGTTCGGATATAATTGTTAATAGCACCTCTATCCCCCTATAAAGGGTCCTTGTTTGGAATATGTATTATACAGTCACCTTATTCTTTATAGATAAAAGTGAAATTGGTAGCACACCAAAGATTGAACTTGTGTATAATTTGTTTCTTTGTTTTGTTTTGAGAGAGCCTCTCATGTAGTTAAAACAGGCTTCCAGCTCCCCATTTATCCAAGGAGGACGCTGAACTCTCCAAGTGCTGGGGTCCTAACCATACATAATCACGTTTACCTTGTTTCCATTTCACTTATCATGCTAGCAAGAACTTCTGTTAGCTGTATGTTGTAAGACAAGATACTGCTTTCTATGCAATCTGTATTATTCACTTCTTGCATTCAGTGAACCTAAAAAGTTCTTTGGAATGTCATAAAGGTCAGTTGTCTAACTAGGTATTAGAGTCGTGATCCTAGACACCCCACCATTAGCTAAAACATAGTGTAAATGTGAATAAAAATGAAACAATGTATGTTTATAAATCTTATCAAATCAAACACATACAGAATATTATAAGTTAGCTGGTCTCCGCTGAAAGGTAGAGACACAGACCTTAATGTTCTCCTAAGACCTTGTTCAACTTTATAGTTATATGCTGAGCGTTTTATTTCAGAAATGCCATTAACCTTGAGCTGTCTCACTATCAGAACATTGTTCTGTGTTTTCTGTCAAACAGGCATACACTATTCATGGCCAAAACTCTGAACCCCATGGAAGAAAGGAAACCTCGGCTCTAACCTTGGGACCTTCCTGTAAACGAAAGGAAATGCCAGCTATTTTGCAACAACTTTCAAAGTTAACTTCTCTGCTCCTGAAAACATGAATTTCAAATTTTAAAAAGAAGCCTACAGTATCCGTTCACCATTCAGATTTACAATAGAAACTACGTGGTGTTAGTGTCTGTGGAGAGAAAAGAACCCTAGTCAGAGCCATATGGTGTTGGCTGATTAAACACTTTGTTGTCAGGATTGTGTCCGAACTATACCCCTTTTCAGCCTCACGTTTTTTGTTTTTTTTTTTTTTTGTTTTTGCCTTTAAAGGGGAGATATTAGTATCTCACAAATGTGCTACCGAGCTAAATTACAGAATGAGAAAATACTGTGAACAAGTAGAACTCAAAATATGGGGGGATAATCATTCATTCATTTTGTAATAAAATTATTGAGATCATTTCACTAAAGAGTCATTCTGCTGAAACATGATTCCTTGTGGTTTTCAGGCATGAAAACACAGAGGCATAGTTTTGAGTGTTCAATATACATGTCATTTAAAACCTTAGCAAGGTTAGCTTGCCCATCATCCCTTGGCTAAACATGTTTCTATAATACCTCTTTGGGTTCTTTGTGATCCTGCAGGCTATGGATGCCATATATAAATGGCAGAGCTGCGTTCTCTCAATTCTCTACCCCAAGATTATGATTCAAGAAAAGTATAATGACCTATTTTGTTGATGGTGGTAAATTTCTAGAACATTCAATGTGAGTGATATAATTCACAGAATTTATCTCCCTTTCAACTCAAATGGGCCTCAAATAGTCTTGTGTTTGTCCAACTCTTCCAAAAACAAATACTGACATGAGGATTTATATATAAGTGATATTGGGAAAAAATACTCCAAGAGAAGACCAAAAGGACTTGAGGAAACAAGACAGAAAAGAAATGAAGTTTTTTAAAAATGTAATTTCAGGGCTGGAGAGATGGCTCAGCGGTTAATAACACTGACTGCTCTTCCAGAGGTCCTGAGTTCAGTTCCCAGCAACCACATGGGCAACCACACGGTGGCTCATAGCCATCTATAATGTGATCTGCTGCCCTCTTCTGGCCTGCAGGCATACATGTAAGCAGAACACTCTATACATAATAAGTAAATCTTTAAAAAAAAAATAATGTAATATTTGGCCCCAATTCCAAGGTAGACCTCCAGAATAAAAACTGCCCTTGGAATTTATTTCAATATGAGACATGGGGACAGGGGTTTCCTAGTTCTACCCTCTAGTTGTGAGTCTCCCCAGGGTAATATAAACTTCCAGGACCTTATCATCTAGGTAAGCAAATCCATTAGCCCAAGAACAAGCCACTAGAGAAGGTCATGGATGCTAATCATCATCAGAGGTACACCTTGGCACTGGATATTGAGCATAGCAAACTGGCAGGCGTGATATAAGGGTAGGGGGGAACAGTATAGCGTGTTATATTATCCTTTGGCTGTGGGAGGTATTCCAGAATCTAATGGTACTGAAAAACTCTTACTAGGACCTCACTTTACAAGAAAATTAATGGATAGAGATGTTGTCATGGTTAATACCCCATATTTATCCTGTATCCTTATCTAGCCTGCTTCTATGGACCTCTACCCTCGGGTCATTCTAGAGCCTGTGGCTGGATTTCCCTCCACACAGATAGATGAAATTCTGTACTTACCAAGGGCCAAATACATTTGTGGATTGTGTCTTTTTAATATGATTGCATGTGTACTAGAATAAGTTCTGTATGAAAGAATCATTCTTTATAAAAACAGTAACAACAACAACATCCCGAAAACATAGGGAAAGATACTCCTTCAAGCCAGGAAAAGAGGACAAAAATGACATTCATTGGTGTTGCACTTGTCCCTTGCCCTCTAGGATGAAAAGTGTTTTCTGTTCCTCTTTATAATTAAAAATAAGGTCTCATAGAAAGAATAAAAAATGTACATTATGTAGAGAAATGGCCTTGTACTTCAGAAGTACTTGAAGGTCTGGCCTTGGTGGTTAAGAGGTGGGTTGGAGAGACATAGCTGGTGTCTATGGAGACATAGTGTGGGTAAGATTTTGATTAGGGGGTAGTACTGAAAGAGATCTCCGATTAGGCACAACCCACACCCAAACCCCTGTATTCACAGAGAGATCCTTTATTAAGCAAGGAAGAAAAGTAAAACCTGACACTTTCTGTCTCAGGCAGAAAACAGGAGCTAATGACCTTGCAGTTGTAACTTTTAAGAAGAGAGAAAAAAGGGGAGGTCTATATTAGAATGGGCTAGGATGCCGTGGTCTTGATTGGGCAAGTTTTTAGGCGAATGAAAGGGTTCTTTTAATTGCTGGACTTCAATAATTTGATTGCTGGACAATGACAGTTAGCCTCAGGAAGAAGTGTGTAATGGCCCTGGTGGTCCTGGAACTGGATCTGTAGACCAGGCTGGTCTTGAACTCACTGGTCTGCCTACCTTTACCTCCTGAGTACTGGAACTAACAGCGTGCAACACTACTGCCCAGCCTGATTTTTCAGTAGCTTCAAAACAAGTAAATAAAAGTCAAAATATCCCTAGCAAGCCAGAACCTGAAAAGCTATGAAATGGTTCCATAAGGACTTATCCTCCAAACTGTGCTCGCCTGAAAACTGATGCTGCACAAGAGCAAAATGGTCTCTGTGGACTTGGCATTTTCTAAAAAGGAACTATGAGGGATTCAGAGTTTAGCTCTAACTTGTTCATCTATTTCAGACAAGGGACTGCTTGACACCAGGCAGTGTTATGAAATAATTTTTCTCCTCTGACAGACACACACACACACACACACACACACACACACACAGAGAGAGAGAGAGAGAGAGAGAGAGAGAGAGAGAGAGAGAGAGAGAGCCTCCTCTTCATTCCACCTGTCTCCCCAGTAAACTCTCTAGCTCAGAGAATTTCGCCTACGGCCCACCCAAACACTGCTGCCTCACCACATCCTACAGCCCTTCACACGTTTACTATAGGCACCACAAGCAAATAGGAACCATCCTCAAACAGGATTCATTTTGTATTCCCAGATATATTTGGCAAGATTTGCATACATTTTCAATCACTGACTGAGAGCTCCCTCGGAGTGTTCATGTTCTAGCACTTTCTATTTTCCCATAAAACAATAAAAAAACAAAACAAAACATAGCAAAAAATAAAATTCCTACAGTAAAGAACTGTGATTGCTTATGGAAGGCTCCCACAGTATGCATTAGGATAGTGGCTGTTGAGAGAATATAGGTTGGCTACCAACTAAAGAAATGGGTTTGATTCTCTAACCTTCATGGGTCTATATCTTCAGTTCCATTTTCTGAGAATGATGGCTTAGCCAAAAGCATTTTTGTAATTGCAAACACAATAGACATTTTAGAAGACGGAGTGCTGGGTTTTAGTTAGGGAACTTACTGCAAAATGTAGTTAAAGGATGGGTAGGAGCGGTGTATCCGTGTAAATTCCCTTTTTAAAAGCATCCAGTCTTTGTTTTCATTTATCCCAGTCCCAAGGAACACATTAGCTCATAAAGACTGCTCGTCCCATTTTCAGACAGTGAGATATGGAGGAAACAGGCCACTGGGACCCAAACAGATCTGAGGGTCTATCAGATTTCTCTACCAAGAGGTATGTAGCTTTGGGCAAGTTATTTAACTTCTTCAACGCATACTCTTCATAGCTACAAAGAAATTACTCTTTAGTTTTCTTTTAAGATACTGAGAAGAAAATAAGTAGTCCAAGGGTAGGACAACTTATGACATCAAAGAGAGAATAAATAAAGATCAGCTAGCTGCCTTGGGAGCTCCTGAGGGGGCTCAGCAGCTAAGAGCACTGGTGAATCTTGCACAGGATCCGGGTG